AACTCACTTTGCAGAGGTGGTGTCCTTGTGAACCCAGGAGTATGAGGCGCCGATTCCCGACTAGCCCATGTGATGAAGAAGGCATTTCTTTCATTGGCCTTATTTCCAGTGTTGCCAAACTGGAAACTTTAAGCCACCCTGTAAATTGATGTGTATGGTGTTTAGCAGTGCAGAGCAGGTTAGGTAGTCATTCAGGATTAGAGGCACAAAGTTACGGGTTAGCGTATCGGAACATGGATTCAGCAGGTTAAGTGTGTGCCAACCTTGGGGAATAGTGTCAGACTGAAGGTTGCTGAAAATCATCTGTCTGGAAGTTTGGCCATGCAGATGTGAAAGCCCCAGTGAGACCCTTCTGTGAATTTTTCCCTTCATGTTCTCTCTGGCAGATGAGCAGCAAATTGTACCTAAGGTCTGAAACAGATTCATTCTTGACCATCTGTTTTCTTGCTTTAGCTTGTTCTTGAAATGGCTTTTTGTGCTCTGCCACTGCTGCCTTTGTTCCCTTGGATCAAATGCTCTTGGATAAGTTGATCAGCCGCAGAAGCTTTTTGGGATAGGTCTGACAAAGTATGACTCCTCTCATAGATTTGTAGAGAGCGGGTGCTAAACTCTTTGTGCTTGAATAGCTTTGATTCAAATTTAGGTGGGTATTTGCAAAGTTGGCATTCTCAGTAGAGCTGTAAAATAGGTCCTTACAGAGCTGCTCCTGCGCCTGCCCGAGCAGCCGATTCCTGTATTGGTGGTGAGCCAGCCTGCTTCTCTGGGCAGACCTCCGTGGAGGTGGTCACTGTGCAGTTTGTTGAACCACCGCCAGTGTTGTCGTGTGCTTTTGTAGCTGGTAGGTGGGAAGGACTAAAGGGAGATGATTTTCACTGGAAAGGAGACAAAAATGTTTCCACTTAATTTGATTGGCCTGCCATTGCAGGAGCTGCTAATGATGTCTGCATGGGACTCGGGGGACCACTCACACTGGTGGAAGGAATCATAAGAGAGATTGCTAGTAACTTAATCATCTCCTTTGATGCTGCGGTAGAGGTTTGTATAGTGTCCACTGCTAGATACTATGTAAGAGCACTTCTGAGGCAATTAGTGCCCTGTCCTGAAGGTGAATTTTTGCTTGGGGAGGGGAGTGCCAGTGAAAACTAAAACCCATTAGCTTTTCTCTCAGGAAGTTTTGCTGGGCTAGAGAATAACATGATCTTTAGGCATTCATAAGGTTTAGCCTTGATGGGAAGAGCCTGTTGTGATTAAAAAAAAAAAATCCCCAGTCTCTTCCACCTGTAAGGCAGCAGTGTTTGTGGATGCAGTGGGCTGGTGTACCCTCAGCAGCGGAGGCTTTGGCAAGCACAGTTTGGCTCCTGTAGCTTCTCCCCTTGCCTAGTCCCAAAAGACACCCTGTACTGGGACAGGGGAAAGCAGCTCCCTTAGCCAGCACAGTTCTTAAGTGAAGTCAGAGGCCGTAACTGCGACTCCGGCCCTTGCAGAGTCCCCTTTTTTGCTCACCTCCGTGTGCTACTTTCTCATTCCTATACTTTGGTGACTTCAGCTCTTCCAGTGCCCGATGGTTTCGTGTAACCCAAGGGAGAACACACACATGCAGCAGGAGCAGTGTAGGGTAATGTACATCTGTTAATAGTGAGGTCTCAAAGGTGCTGGAAGCCCTCTGATGGCCTAATAATAATTATTAATGCTAATAAAAATTAGTGAACTCCTGGCAGAAGGCTGGAATAATAACTGCAGAGTCTTTGTTTAGTCAGAGATAAGAATGGGTCAGCCTTGTGCGAAACCTCCTTCCCTCAGCTCCGTCCTCTTCCTGCATCCTGTCCTCTGATGGCTGCATTTTTATCTTCCTGAATTACGAGAGGGAATGGCTTTTCTTAATTCCACCCCCCCACCATGCTCCTGTGACAGGAGCGAGGGGGAGAGGGATTAGTGAGCTAATTAGAAATGATCGCATCTATCAACACTAATTAACAATCCTGTGGTCTCACTTGCGTGTTCTTTTGAGCTGCTCCCCTTCGGGACAGCACCACAATCACCCCCTGCCTTTGGGGCCACTCCGTCCCTTCTGCGCTGATTGGAAGTGATGGCCAGGCTGCGTGTCGTGTCGGGTAGGGACAGTGCTGCTCGGGATGTGCTTTCCAGGCTGCAGCGTTCCCTCTCGGCCTCTGCTGTCACCAGGGGCACCCTGGGCTGCTCTGGGCATGCCGCTGCTAATGACCACAGAATGAAAATGGCAGGGGGATTTGTTTTCAACACCTCTTTCATCCAGTGGCTTTTGCACTTGTGGCACCAGAACGTGAAGGGCTGCTCCTCGGCGGAGCTAAATGAGCCGAGATGGGGGCTGTCTGCCGAGTCTTGCGTGGAGCTGAAGCAGAGTGTTCTGAAGCAGAGGTTCTGTTCCCAGCGCTGCACTCACGTTTCGACAGTGGGTCAGGTGCTTATTCTGGCAAAATTGTCCCAGGAATTTATCCGTGTAAGACCTGAAACAAATCGTCCTCTTTTTATCACTGTTACACTGCATGGACTGGAGAATAGCAGTAAAAAAGTTAAAAATACTAATAAACTTGCCAGGCAGACTGACTTAGCTGAATTGTTCGGCCATGGGGAGTCCTACCAGAATAATTAGTGCCCCTTCCCCACGTTTCCCTGTTCAAAAGCAGGATGAGGTGAGAGAAAGATGTGTCTGCGACCAGGAGAGAGAAGGCTTTGTTGCTGTGTTTGTCTCTGGCCAGATGGGTGTTCGCTGGAGAACACTCAAGTTGTCTGATTTCAGTTGCCTCCGCCGTTTTGTGCTGGCTCCGCAGAGGTAGTGAGGCAAGGAAAGAGCATCCTTAGGCGGAAGAGCCATCTTGGAGGATGTGGGTGTTCGTTAAACCAGAGCTTCGGAAGTCTTTTGTGCACTGAACTACAAACCAGAAGCAACACGGCTTAACTCTGCTTCTGGTAACAGGGCTGGATGATGTTGAAAGGGGAGGAGGGGTAGCATTTTGGGGTTCAGGAAGGGGAGAGAAAACACAGAAGCTACATTGGGGGACATTGTTTTATTTAAAAGCAGAACATAATTCATCTGGGCACAATGAAATCAGCACTAACGCTTCATGGCGTTTGCTTCTGTATTGACTGCAAGTCATGTGGTTTACCTTCTGGGGTAGAAGCTGACAATATAGGTAAAATAGGATATTTAAGCAGACAAAGTAGAAGGGAAGCTATTAAAATATCTCGCTAGGCATGCTGAAGTACCTGAAGTGGGCTGTGGAGCTGTCGGTGTGGTGTACCCGACACCAGAGAAGGTTCTGGAGCTTCAGCAGATGCAATTTGGATGGCTGATGAACAACATAGACTGTCAGGTACATGCACACCGCTTTCAAAGTGCCAGGTCTCTCAAGCATTCTGCTTGTGGTCTCAAGTTGCTGCCTTTCTCTAGGAATGTCACATTTGCAGAAGCCTTTTTGTGGTGCCAGGAAGGAAGATTTGTTTTGGAGGGAGTTTTCCTACAAATCTGTCTCATTCAGTGAGGAAAACCAATGCCCGGGGAATAATTTGAAGCCTTCTTAATTCTGGAGCATCACAGAGTGTAGGGGATGGTGAATATTCCTAGTTCTGGACTATGGGAAAGTATATCCTAACTCAGGAGAGTCCTGAGTCCAGGGAGGCCAACAGGAAAGCCTTGGAAAAGAGGCCTTTCAGGTCTGTGTTGGTGTGTTCAGCTCAGACTTTTGTTGTTCACTTGGTGATGTGTGTGCACTAAGTTGATGCACTTTAAACTATTGACAGAAACTTTCCTGAACCCCGCTCCTTCTCTTTCTGGCATTCTGGGAGCTTTCTCTGACTTGCTGGCTGCAGTGGGCTGTTGATCCCACAGTACTGAGGCATGAAGGCTTTGAGAGCATGCTGCAGTGCCCGCAATGTCAGTAACGATTTCTGGCTAACACAGCTTTTTGGTGGTGTCATCTCTCATTATCACATGGGCTTTCCTTGGGCTTTTCCTTGTCTCTCATTCAGAATTTTGACCTTCCTTATTAATTAAATAGCAACTTTCCTGCAGCCAGTGATTGAGTTATTCAGTAATACCTGCCTAAAGCCATCATAATAAAGGACAGAAGTTATTTTTAATGCAAATGATTTGGTTCCAGATGTTTTGATCATGTTAAACGATGTCTCAAATTAACCAGAGATTGGATTAAGCAACAGGCTACCTTGGCTGCTTTCTCTAATCATCGTGATTCCTAACATGTTTGTTTCCCAGAGGGTTCCCACAGGAAAGCAGTGTAGCCCCCAGTTTTTCTTTCCATGAAAGTAGTGAAATAAAAACAACAGAGAGCGCCAGAAGGTAGCCAGTGTAGGTGCTGCCTTTTTCACAGCAAAGATCTTTCCTCTCCATAAACATTACCTGCTACTAAGATGTTTCTCTGACTTGCTCTTGGTGTTCTGGGGAGGAATTACTCAGGGTGTGCAGAAGACTCTGTGGTCCTGGAAGTGACTGTTATGTACCTTGTCCAAGGCTTTTCAGGTGCTGCATCATCCTTTGATGGTCTAAGCAAGTTCCTGTATAGGGAACAGATGTGTTTGTGGGTGGGTCTCGGATTTAAAAGGCAGAATTCAGAAGAAGATTCAGTGGCTTGGTCACTTAGCTTTGAAAACAATTTCAAGCTTCCAAGAGAAGGTATTTAACCGTTTGTTTAACTTATCTGGGGACGCGCAGCAGATACTCCCTCTCCTAGTTACTAAATTGTGAGTAGCTGCCTCTCTGAAATAGGCTGTACGCAGCCACAGGTTACGGATTTAATCTGGAAAGTGCTGAGTAACAGTCTCTGTACTGCCTACGGACATCGGAATAGGGAGCTGCTGTGGGATTTTTTTGGTGTGAAATATTAGTATTTCTGCCAAGGGTTTATTATTTGGAGCTGAGCAAATAGAGAGAAGAGTGGATCTGCAAACTTGACATGTCTTCCTTTGTTTGTTTTGTTTTCTTTCCCTGCTCTCTCCATGCAGCTCGGATTGGGAAAATGAAACGGAGGAAGCAAGACGAAGGGCAGGTATGTCCCCTCTGCAGCCGACCTCTGTCAGGATCCGAGGAGGAGATGAGTAGGCATGTGGAACAATGCCTTGCAAAGGTAGAGGCGCAGCAGGATCACCAGCTGCCATTCCCTTCTCCCTACCCCCAGCTTTGTTGGCAGTTGACCTAACGTGGGGCAAAAACTAACGTTGCTGAGCTTGCAGGCAATGCTAACTATGTCTCCCTAAGATCTGTAGTCACTTCTCTTTGTCTTGGAAGAGAGATTCTTCTGGATTTTTCTCCTGTGTTGCATTAGTAACTTTTTTAGTTCATTCACCCTTTTGCTGCTATTGAAGTCTAAGTGTAGACTGTAAAGGTAGAGCTGTTGAAGTTTTTTTAAGCCTTTCGTAGGACTTCACCCTTCTTATATAGCACAGCAAGAAGAGCTCTTTCTGGTCTCTGCCTTTGACAGCATTAGAATTGGGTTTTGTTGGGTTCTTTTGTAACAGACTGGCATTTGTAAATATTGCATGACTATCTTACTCCAGAAAGTGCATTTGAGCAGAACCATTCTCTTGTTGATTGTCCCAGAGACATTGAGGAAGGAGAAACATGCCCTAGGGGAGGGGAAGAGCTTTGTTGTAGGGCTTTCTGTGCTTGTTTCTCAGGAAAAGCCCGCAATAGAGAGGATAACATTCATTTTTGTTGCCTCAAGAGGTGCGTAGTGTTGAGAGAGGTGTCTTTTGATCAGCGTGCCCCTGGAAATTTGCTCTAGGATAACATTTAAATTTCCATATGTAAAAATGGTGAACCTTGTAACTTGTTTTGATTTTAAGGTTGCCAAGTTTCTTCCAGCACCCATTTACTTCTAGGCAGATCACTGGGAGTGGGGGTGGGAGTAGATGCTGCTGTCTGCTCTATACTTAGCTGTCCTGGGAACAGTCCAGCTTTTGTCCATCCCACCCTGAGTTATTAACCCCAGGAGCTATTTCATGCATCTCAATGCTCTGCCCCTGCTTTACCCTGTGCAGAGAGAAGGTTCGTGCATGACTGAGGATGACTCTGTGGACATCGAGAACGAGAACGGCAACCGCTTTGAAGAGTACGAATGGTGCGGGCAGAAGAGGATACGGGCCACTACTCTCCTGGAGGGAGGATTTCGAGGTGCGCCAGTGTTTTGGGGACCCTTGTAAATCATTCCACTGGGGAAGTTGATCATTGCCTGTCTTTAAAGGGAAGGACCTGGAGATTTGCCTTTCATAAAGGGCAGGGCCTTCAGCTGTCACCAGAGTGTAAAGTCATGTCAGCGTTCTGCCTCTCTTGAATGGTGAGAGGCGAAATTTGTGCAGGTCTTGAACAAAAGTGTGGTGTTATTTCTTGCTCAAGAAACGTGGCTGAAGAGGGAATGAGCAGGAATTGGTAGAATTGGGGAGATCATTTGGGGGAAAATAGCTTTTTGTGTGTTACACGTAGTAAGAAATACATGGAAATATGTGAAGAGAGGGAAATAGAAATGAAATTGTAAAAATTCCCAGCCTGGAGTGACGAAAGCTGGTGTATCAGCCTCTGGTGATGTATTGAAGGTGACAGCTAAGTCGCTTTAGCACCTGCATAAAATATTAAAGGGCTGGTTGTGCATTTATCACTCCATCCCTTTTAAGGTTGATAAATGAGAATCCAGGAACCTGCTTTGCACCTCCAGCACTGCAAGCCCTTAGGGCTCTCAGACAAACACATTTTATTTTTCCTCCTTCTTTTGCTCCTTCCCCAGTGACGGGGAAATCAGTTACTGAGGAGAGAGTGAGTTATGGCAAAATTTGACCTCTCGTGAGCTTTATTGGTGAATGTAATTTTAGCTGGAAACCTGGCCCCTTTCTTACATTCAGCCCTTTGGCCTCGAAGAGGAGGATTTACTAAACTGTTCGTTGGCATGAACCTCTGGCACTAAGGAGAGCCTCTCGCAAGCAATCCACGTAGCGCATGCCTAATGAGAGGAGGAATGCTGGCTCCCTCCGTTCAATAAAGAGGATGGGATGTGATCTCTTCCTATATCAGCTTGGATTTTAATTTAAAATATCTCAGGGGGAAAGGCTACTGTGTAAGGGAGTTGGGCTTTTAAAGCCAGTTGTGTGTTCAGTGTCAGCCTGGCACTCCTGATCTGCTCTTACCTTCCTCTGAAATTAAATTGTAGCTGGATTGTAGCAGAGCAGGTGATCAGGAGCACAGAGGTGAAGGAGCAGCTTCTTGGGTTTTAAAGGCTACCCAGTGAAGCTCATAGTGTCGCTTCACTTCCTATGTCTGTAGCCTTACCTACCTCAACTTGTTTGGTGCCCGCATGGAGAGCTGAGTCTGTACGTGATTCCAGGTAGAGGTCTGAGGAGACCATGCAGGGCCGTAGACCGTGTTTACGGAGTATAGTTACTACAATCCATAGCAAGAAAGCGTGGGATGATGTCTGTGTGCCTCTGTCATTGTCACCGCTAGTCCTGATTAGAAAAAGCTGCTGAGTTAATTTCTGCCCTTTTTTGTGCATGTGTACTTTTCTCCTTCGCCCCCACCAAACACGTATGTGTGAGGAGAGCGCTGTCTTCTGTTTCCTTTGGTGTGGACATTGTGCTGTCTTCACCTGGTTAGCATTCCGTGTTGGTTTTGAGTCAACTCATCTGAACCTTTCCTGTTACTTCAGTCATGTGTAGAACATCTTCCAAATGAGGCTTCAGGTGAATACAATACATGTAATCGATGTGATTAAGTTGTGTAAATGCAAAGTACTTGCTGCATTTTCTTCCTCCTTTCATCTTGTGCTAGTTTGCATTCTGTGGGTCAACTGCTTTCCTTCACCAGTGGTGAGACAGATTCTAGAAACAGTCAGGGCTGTAAACCTCTGCTAGATGGCTGCACATGCATGGACAGGTACTTATGTATTTCAGACTTAGAAATAGCCTTCCTTACATCAGGAAGTATGGGATCGGTCTCTTCCTTCCTTTTTGAGACCTTTGCGACACCTTCAGAAGTGTTTAGTCACATGAACGGATCCATCAAAGGATCAGAAGGCTTAGGAGGAGAGTAGAGCACAAATACATGCGGTTCTAAAACCCTCCATAGTTACCCTGATGGGAAGGCTTTTGGATTACACTCTT